TCAGTTCATCGCAATCTCACAAATCTCTGTTATAACGCAATAAATATATGCATAATGAAACTTAATGTCTACAATTCGTGTGTTATAATGAGAGGATTCGTGAGCACGCAGATTTCAGCACTGCATTGCTCAACGCTGCAAACACATGTTATAGCCTAAATAGAAACGCTGCATGCATGCCCCTGTGAATCGTTTATATTTTATATTAGTTCATGTTGCTTTTGTGCAATAGATGAATAACAATTTATTTTCTATTTTAATATTTATATGTATACCCGCTCGCACCAGCACTCGCCCATCTTGTCCCGCGCCGCGCTCTGTTGCGTCGGGTCTCGCGGGAGCAGGTCTCTAATCCACTGGCACTTGACTCGACAGTGCGTGTGCTAGGCTACATCCTTTTTACAATCTCTAGATTATAGAACACTGCATTCTGTCAGCAATGTAACGCGGCAGCGCAGTTATAGAGACCTCGGCTTGTAACTATACTCTAATTACTATTTTGAAAATTATAACGCGTTAAATAAATCCGTTACTAAAAAAGGAATCAAATTACAGTAACGCGTTACTAAGTAATGCGTTACTGCCCAACACTGATGCTAAGTATATGATTATGTACGATGACCAATTATGCTTTGTGGCTGTCCTGTTGGTTGTATGCTTAATCATTTTGTTAAACCTTGATAAAGTAGGTAACTGGTCTTTGGAGGGGGAAGCATAATAAAATGGCTCCTAAACTATAGAATAAGCATAATCTCTCATTATGAACTCCATTCAGATATTCTGTTTACCTGGTAAGGTTGCATGTAGAACAGAGGCACTTGGACGTAATGAGGTAAGAGACAATAAGCTATTGAAGCATATCAGGGCTGTGACCATAAATCATTTGCATATATTGTGATGACAAAAAGACAATCAGTTTAGCATCTGCTGAGCTGGGGAAGGGAGGTCTGGGTAATCCACTGGAAGGATGTGTAGCTTTCAGAGCAATTAATCATTGTAGTAGTAGTTGTTATTTAATTAGTTATTTAACTTTTTTATTTGTATATTTTTGGACTTCATCATATTCATAGAACCGGGTTTGGCTAATCCTGTGTCTCGCTCTGCCAGTTTGGATGGATCTGTCGATAACAGATCCGCAGCTCAGCAGGGGGAGGATGGCAATGCCTAGCCATGTTGAGAATTTCAGTCTTTTGAAATTAGACAAATACCTCAATAATTATACATGTTGACAAATATTGTGATAGGCTGTAGCAAGATATACTAGTTTAAATTACAGGAGAAGCTAATAATAAATAGTGTATCTCACAAGTCAGTTTTTTTTTTTTTTGACAATGAAAATGTCTTTTTTTTTTTACAATTTCCAAAATCTTGCCTGAGGTTAAAAATGTTTCTTTCAAGCACTCAGTCAGGTGAGGCTTTTCAGGAAAAGTACAGATTTTTGATCAAATATAATACAGTTTTTCATCTCTGCTATGTCTGCCAATACTCAAATTAATAGAAATTTGCTTTGTCTTAAAAATTTGTAATTGTAAAATAAAATTACTTAATTTACAAAGGTTAAGAAGCATCATTACACAAACAAAACCAAAATAAAACCATAATTATAGCTTTAACTGTATTATATAATGATGCTGCTTAGCTTTTTGGATGAGGTTATTGTAGTTTAGAATTTTTTTTCTTATTCAATTTTTTTCATGTTTTTAATATATTGTAAAATTGTAATTGTAAGGATTTCAAGTTTTCTAATATACCACATATGTTATAAAAAAAATAATTTGTGGATGTTTTGATTAGTTCTGGAGTTTCTGGAGTCTGTTTTTGGACTCATTTCATTCACTGTTATCCCTAAACCTTCTGTAGTAGGTTTGTACGTCTATTCCTAGATTTCTTTTTAAAGCTCTGAGTTGTGGCTGTTATTGCTAAAAGGGTGGAATAATTTTAAGTATGTGCGGTTTCTATTGGAAAGGCACTCGTCCCATGCTGTGTATATCAGACATTCATCAACAACTTTCTGTGTTCATTTAGCAGGAGCTGGTGTGCTGACAGCAGAGCATCCAGTTGAGAAGCTCAGTGTTGCTGTGACTGTTCCAGCCACGCAAGACACAACCCTGCAATCAGTCAAAGAACACAAACCTGCAAAGAAAAGTAGTTCCACTAGTTCACTGCCTCAGAAAGCAGGCGAGGAATCAGACAGTGATTTTGAGTCAGACCCACCCTCTCCCAAAAGCAGTGAAGACGAAGAGGCCGAAGAGGAGGAAGGTCTCAACAGCGAACGTGAAGACACCGAACCTGAGAACCTGGGTCAGAGGCCGTTACTCATGGATTCTGAGGAAGAGGAGGACAAACACAGCTCAGACTCAGATTGTGACTCTAGGAAAGCAAAACTTGGGTTGTCGAAGGAAAAGGCTGCACTTTTTCCTCCTAGAACAGTGAAAGCTGAATCTGGACCCAGTGTGATCACTCCTCCCAATTCGCCAAGTGTAGCCATGCCTGTCGCGAGCATTGTGGATGTGTTTGGTGCTGTTCCTTTCGTTGGCAGTGGTCAGCCCAGAGTGTCACCAGAGAGCTCAGATATTTTTGCCCAAGCCCCTTTTAGGCAGGCTAGCCAGGAGAACGCTGCGGAAGAGACTGACATATTCATCAAAGCTCCTTTCAACAGAAACCTCTCCAGGTCCAGCAGGAGTGGCGATGGACCCAGTGGCCAGACGCCACCCGTTTCTCCTGACAGCGTGGATGTATTCGGATTCTCGCCTTTCCAACCTAGCCACGTAATGAACAGAGATTCTAGGAATCAGGAGGACATCTTTGGCCAAGCACCTTTCGACGAGGCAGACAGTCCCCAGCAACAGAGGCAGAAGCAGCGCAGTCTTCAGAAACTCTCCTCGCGGCAAAGGCGCACCAAGCAAGAGGCCAGTGGCGGGAATGGGAAGCGACACCACGGCACGCCCACTGGTGGCAGGAAGAGCAACAAACCCAGTTTCCGTACCCCCGAACGGGTGCGAAGGCACAAGAAAGTGGGCAGACGGGACTCGCAGAGCAGCAATGAGTTCCTCAGCACGTCTGACTCCAAAGAGAACATCAGTATTTCCCTGGGCGAGGTGATGGAAAAAGAAGCTGCGTTGCCTTCGGAGGAGGTCTTGTTGGATCCGTTTGGAGCCAAGCCTTTTCATCCACAAGATGGCAGTCGACACGGCCAGCACCAGAGCTTGGGAGACAACAAAAGTGAGATCAATTCGACCAACGGTAGGCCGAGAACCAGTTCCCTACAAGGCGTGTTTGACGAAAATAAGATAGATGACTTCGGAGCTGTACCTTTCACAGAACTGGTGGTCGAAAGCGGAGCTCCGCAAACCCCACAAAAGGATCTCGACCCTTTCGGAGCCGCACCTTTCCCCTCAAAGCAATGAATATCTTGTCTTCCGGCACACATGCAGAGATGATAGACACACACACATTTACACCGCTACATTATGCAAAGCCCAAGCAGCCTTTTGAAATGTCTTTTAACGGACGGCAGCTTTGTTCTGTGATCTCTGTGTATGTGCAGCCCATTGGGACATAGACCTTTAAACTAGATAACATTCAACTTTTGTAGTTTTTCAAGTATTTCAATACCTAACTGGACAGCTAAATCCTCTTTTCCTTTTGGTGACTTAAGCCTGTGGTTGATGGATGCTTTCAGATAGGCTTTTGAAGCATTTTCCTTAGCCTTTACGTGCTAGAAAGCCTTCTTTGCTGCAATACAATAAGCGCTCTGCTCAGTAAAAAAAAAAAAAAAAGTTAAAAAAGCACATTGGAGATGTGTGTGTAATCCTTCATTTTAATAGGATTAAGAGGAAAATACCAATATAGTACAGCATTTTGTAGTTTGTACTCCATTGTTGACCACTGAGTTGGTACAACTCCTATCTACCAACATGAAACACCATAAAGCCTTATCTGGGTATTCCCCACCCTGCTTAACAGTACCTCGAATACACAATGGCTGTAGTAGCCCGTTTGTGTCAATGGAATCATCTGAGTGTAGGCCTCTATTTTATGCATATTTTTACATTTTGTAAGAACGTTACAATGTCTATATAAATGAAAAGGGACTTAACGTTCCCTTTAGTAAACTGACCACACAAGAGAAGTTAAACTTGCAGTTTATTAGACAATGTTGTAACTCGCATAGAAATAGTTCTCCAACCTGAACTTAACATATTTGATGTTATCAAATGATTAGGGTGTTCCACTACGTCTGTAACCTACAATCATGAACAATTAGTTCTTGTGGAAAGGGAAAAAATTTAAAGAATGAGCTCATTGCAATTTTGCCTATTTATATACCAGTCACTTGTTTGAAGCAAATTTTAAAATTAAATTTTAGTCATGAAGAGTATCACAATTTTACTGATAAAAGGGCCATTTAGAAGATACATTTACACTTACTTCGTATCTGCAGTTGGAACATTCAATATAGTACAGCATTTTGTAGTTTGTACTCCATTGTTGACCACTGAGTTGGTACAACTCCTATCTACCAACATGAAACACCATAAAGCCTTATCTGGGTATTCCCCACCCTGCTTAACAGTACCTCGAATGCACAATGGCTGTTTGTAGCCCGTTTGTGTCAATGGAATCATCTGAGTGTAGGCCTTCTCCATTTTAATGTCATTCGCATAGACAATTTTATGCATATTTTTAAATGCATTCAATGTTTTAAAGCCTTATGTTTCAATGTCTACATACATGAAAAGGGACTTGATTTAATGTTCCCTTTAGTAAACCGACCACACAAGAGAAGTTAAACTTGCAGTTTATTAGACAATATTGTTATGACTCGCATAGAAATAATTCCCCAACTTGAACTAAACATCTTTGATGTTATCAATGATTAGGTGTTCCAGTACGTCTGTATGTATTTACCAGTAACCTACAATCATGAACAATTAGCTCTTGTGGAAAGGGAAAAGAATTAACGAATGTGCTCAATACAATTTTGCGTATTTATATATCAGTCACTTGTTTGAAGCAAATTTTAACATTTAAATTGTAGTCATGAAGGGTATCACAATTTAACTGATGAAAGGGCCATTTAGAAGATGCATTTACATTCACTGAAAATCTGCAGTTTGAACATTCAAAACCAAAAAAAATGCTTCTTTTTGTTTCAAACGTTGCAAGATTTGTTCTTTTTCTTATGTAGTACTATGCTCTAACAATGCAATATGTTTTTTTTTGGGAGATCATTAGTCCTTGTTTTGTCAGATATTGTCATTAAAAGAACTGTCATTAAAACTTCAGTTGAAAATGACAACGTGAATGTTTATTCATCTGTACTGAAGAACGCATATCCCAACATATTACCAACATGTGGTAAAAAATTTTAATAGTGTTACTTAATGCAGCATCATGATTCAATAACAGCTCACAAAAATAACAGCACATCACCATTAAGCACTAAAAATACACATTGTGCTGTTTAAAAAATGCAGTTGTACAGCTGTACAGTTCACTGTTGTAAGGCAGAAAATGAACTGAAAACATGTAGCTCTATTTCACATTACAGTCCTAACTTTGACTTGATAACTCAACTGAGACTACAACCTGATGAAATGCAATATACAGACTGGTGTGTTCATTGCATTAGTTGCATGGAAGAAATTTTAAATTGCCATTGTTGGTAACAAAGCAAAAACAAATGGTAAACAAGGAGTCATCTGTCTATATCAAAAGAAAAAATGCTGATGTGTGTATTTGCAACATGGCAATGCTGTGCAGCAACCCGCAAAATATATTTTCCACTTATGCAAGACATTTGTTTATTTCACCAATCTCTGAACAATTCACTGAACAAGCCCTATCAAATCTCTTTGGTTTATTCGATGTTATAAATGAGACTATATGGTTTAAGTCTCATTTAAACTATTATATAATGTAAGTTTGAAAAAAAAACATTAAAAATTCATGTTCGCACAAACCCAACATAAATCGAAATGTAAGCTTATGAATCATTGAATTTTAGGTGCAAATACAAAAAGAAAACACCAAAATAGTATTGAACAGACAGATAATAATATAATACTGAATGTTTAACTATTCGTATGTAACAGATTTATTGCCCACATAACCTGCATGTTACCCAACAAGTAGATTTCTATAAATGTAGAAATGCACGCAGACCCACTGAAATGGTGCTCACCTTGATTTTTAAAAGTGCTTTTAAATGCCTAACTGCTTACCTCATCAAGTGCCTTTAATTTATATTTAAACTGAAACATCAATTTACAAAATGTATAAAAGTTTCAAAATAGATGACAAAAAAAAAATCCAATGTGTTTAAGCTTAACGATAATTTAAAAAGCTATACAAGTCCTCAGTGGTGTACAAAGGTAATTGTAATTTAAAAAGGTATACAAGTCCCCTCGATCCCATAACTCTAGGAATGAAGAGGGTGGTCCGGGCAAGGGTGAGAGTGACGATAATTGGTTATGAAAAGTGCAGACTGATGCCACCAGTAGAACATGAGCACCACCAATATGTGCCAGACCTGATGGCTGGAGCCCAAGTAGTTCAGCTGACCTAGAGATGACAAAAAGAGCATTAAAGCATTAATTAACTTGTCTGAGGTTGGTCCTCTCACACAGCAATGTGAGTCAATTTAATTAAGGCAGGTGTGTGTGGTCCTTGGTTTAGTCCATCACTCTAAAAAACTTCTCTCTTTGGACACAGTTTCAAATTTGACAAAAGTGACATGCAACCCTGCTTTCATCTCAGGATGCCACACTGAGCTCTCCAATTGTGAAATAAAGATGAAAGAGTAAGAAATATAATATTTCCCAGTACCTGGGAAATAACGCTCTGGAACTTTGGACATGTAGAAGATGATAGCAGCTACAGCAAGTACATACATTATCAGCACTCTGGGAACAAATTCCTATCAAAAAAAAAAAAACAATACCATCAATACCAACATGAAACAATCAATCAATAAGTCACTCAATATACAGTATATATGCGTAGTAGTTGTGGAAAAATGGGTAAAAATGTCTGGTAAATATACATTAAAAAAAACCAATAATAATAATAATGTTGTCACTTCTAATTATATATGTGTGTGTGTAAAATGTAATATATATATATATATATATATACACACATAAATGGTAAAAGTCTGGTAAATATATATTTCATAATAATAGTAATAATAATAATTATACTTCTACTGCTTATATTATTATATTTTCATAAATAACAGCTACTAATATATATATATATGGGGGGGGGCGTGGTCTGGCAATACTCATTATTATTAATATGGTTGATGTTTCTTAAGAACATCTATTAAAAAATTTTGAGGATGCCTTTTACCTGGACTATGTCTGAGCTGAAACCCCCACTGAGCCAGATCCAATGAAAGGTGGGGATTAGGCCATATCCCGCCACAGCACAGAATATAACAGAGCGAAGCTTCTGCCACTTCTTGGTCAAGTAATGAGGGTGGATCTGGGCAAAGAACACTGCCAACATCATGGCCAGAACGGTTACCAGGTACACCTGCCGCCAGTACTGCAGACAGTTACACAAACCAGACGAAACTACATGAACCACAAACACATGGAAGTCCTCTTAATGTGCACAACATAGACACAAAAAATCACTTGTTCTGGAGGAGGAAAAAAAACTGGTGAAAGAAAAAGCAATGGAGAAAGCGGTCCCTCTTTCTCTTGGGGCACTTGGCTGATTGAGTAGTCATCCAAAAAGCAAAGCTAAACACTTGGCAGGGGGAGAGTGGAGATGGCTCACCCACGTGTGAATGTCATATGGTGGGGAACAGGAGTGACGGAGTGGGTCCACGAACACCGCCATCTGCTTTGGGCTGGAGCAGATTTCTGCCGCATTCTGGGGCACAATAAGCCAGCACTTCCAATATGTAGGGCGAACCATGTGGAGCAGCATGGCCAAAAGCGCTGGTGCTCGGCAAACAGCAAGTGGGAGTAGAGGGGACGAGAGCAAGCAGCTTGCTCAGGATATCCAAGATCCAAGCTTTCAGAAAAATGCACCAGATTCTTGAACAAAGAAGATTCCACGCCAAGCGGCACCTCGTCGTTTTTATACCGGCAGTACAAAGCCTCTCCACAGGGGATCCATTGTGCAAACTAACAGCAAAGGAGGAATAAACTATCGTACAACATAATCAAAGATACTCTAGCACAGTGTTACAGTAATCTCACGGGAAATGTCAAGATGCGACAGCTCTCAGTGTGTGCACTTCTAACTTTCCTATTAAATGTTCATACTATTCCTCGCTTTTAAAGGGATAGTTCACCCAAAAATGAAAAATCTTTCATCATTTAACTCACCCACGTCGTTTCAAACTTTCATCTGTGGAACACAAAAGTAGATATTTTGAAAAATGTTTTTGTCCATACAGTGAAAGTTAATGTGGTCCAAAATTGGTTTTTTAAAATATCCTTTTTTTCCAAGAAAAATGTTCAGAAAAGAGAAATTCATACATGTTTAGAATGATATGAGGGTGAGTAAATTATGTCATAAGTGTCCTTTTCGGCTGATGAAAAAATGATAATGTGTACTACAACCGAAATAGAAAATACAGTGAAATGGTGATTTACTAAACACATAAAAACAGCCTCTCCGTGTAGTATTCACATCACACACACACACACACACACACACTGTTTTCCCCAGGAATAGGTGAACTCTTGCTCTGTATCTGTTGCACAGGTAACATATGCCCACAACAAAAGCAGGCCAACCATCTGCTGCTAGAGACCACTGTGGGACGATACACCTCAAGCCACCTACACTGCAAAAAATGCTTTTCTAGCTTAGATCTTTTGTCTTGTTTCCAGCCAAAATATAGAAAAGCATTTTTTGCAGTGTAATTAATCCACCCCTGTCCACATTGGCCATAGCCGCCTATCGCACACAGTGGATCAAACTCTACCCATAAACATTTATAACTTCGCTGATGAAGTTATGGGACGTTTACCTCCAGTACTGCCCACATCTCCACCTCCCCTATGCCAGAATGGTTTAGTTCCAATATACTTTGGTAGTTTAGTACATTTCCTAAATGGAAATTTGTCTTGACTGGTGGTGCTAACATACACCCTGACCATTTCCATTCCACAACAAATACACAGTGACTTTTCCCATCAGTACACAGACATTAGCAATCAACTCAAACATCACACAAAAGCTTATATTCACCACTGAATAAACACATTAAAAAGGTAATTGAGATTTTTTAATCTAACAATTCTGACTTCTTTTCTTGCAATTCTGAGATTGTGATATAAAAAGTCACAATTACCTTCTTTGTTTTATTTCGTGGTGGAAAAAAAAACATGAAATGCAAGTTGTTAGCTCAGAAATCTGAGAAAAAAAGTCAAAACTGTGAGACGTAAACTCACAATTACGAATTTGTAACTTGCAATTGACCTTCGCAAAGACCCACCCCCCTTAGTTACTGTTGCTACGTCCGACAAGCCATGGCGCTCTCACGCAACACATCATGTTCTCACGCTGTGAAAATTATATTGCGGAGCAAAGAGGAAACTGACAACGTGCCGACAGACAAGATAGAGCAGGTTACTTTTGGTATGAAACGGTGTCAGCTTTCAAATTTTGTTATTTTTAAAAATAAATTCAAACAATAAATACCATTTTGTGGCTCTTTAATGTGTTGTGACAGATTGCTGTAGCGTCTCAGTTCAAGCGGCGTGTTTTCCGATCATCTCTTCCTCTTTACAGGTTATAGCATGAAATAAACATGAATGAACATCAGAAGGTATCTTGTTTCAACCACGGAAAGACGTCAATGCACACCATTTTTCAAGTTCAAGTCTACTACTCTCCTGTCTGGTTTGTTTGTCGGACAAAATGGCAGATTCGGCGTTATGATTGGTCAGATCGCTTGTCAATCAAACTCCCGGCGAAGGATTAATTGTGAAATATAAAATGCAATCCTTAGAAGGAAAGTTTCAACTGTAAAAAAAATTCTTTTTTAGAATTTCGAGATTAAAAGCCACAAAAACCTTTATTTCATGGTGGAAATAAGCTTTTATAATTTTTTTTAATTCCATTTTTTTTTTATTATTTGACTGTAGCAGCACCCTCTCTAAGAAAGCAGATGCACATACGTTATTACAGTAGAACGCGTAGAACACTCCTGGAACATAACAGCCTATGATTCCGATTGAGATCCCGCCATAATCCAGTGCCATCCAGCGGCGGCTGTTTTTTTCGGAACGGTGGCAGCAGAACAGGTGATAGCCAACAGAACACAGCATGCACACCTGAAAAGACAACGCAAAGTGTTGAGATACAGATAGGTGTGTGTAGGCCATATATGCCGATTCACATATGCAAAGTTTTCACAATACAATAAAAAAAGCTAAACCTTATATGATGAACCTATGAAGCCAAACAAAGATGCTATAAGTATGTCTGTATGAGAGAATATGAAAGGGTGGTGGTAGAGGCACTTTGCCTAATCCTGATGCTTGAGAGAATGGCTGCCAAGGAGAGAAGCTGCCATTTCTGTCTATAACCGATGGCACGAGAGCAACCGATAACAGATCTAGAATTAGACAGGACTGGGTTTAGGTGATAAAATCATAAATTTCAACTCTAATCCCTGGCAACTGTGAATGTGGAAAGCCTGATATCAAAGGCCTTCAACAGTCCAAGGATTATATGAATACTTTTTGCTGATCTAAGATCAGTTTTTTATTAAAAAAGATGGAGCTGATCCAAACAAGCAACCATGGTTAGAGATTATTTGTTTGTCATGCCAAAAAAAAAAAAAACACTTTATATCCACTAGCTACTGTGTTAACTATTTACAGCGGCTATTAAACACACTTCTGAACTGCTTAAGTTTTTCCTCGTTTCCAATTTTCTACCTAAACGCAAAGCCAAATAATGTGAGGGAATGATGCAAGCAGCACGGACATACCTGAAAGCAGAAGAGGCCTATGGAGTAGATGACATAGTCCTCTCTGGACGCTCCTAACATAGGCAGCACCGCCAACAAGTCATAAACGCCCAGTGTGAAGAACAGGAAGAACCCCAACAGATGACTCCAGATGTTTACCGTCTCATTGGACAGAATGAAAAGGCTACAAGACACGTGAGATTATACCAGCTAATATCTTGTTATTCCCTCAGTTGGCTGAGCAATGCACCTATATTACTATACCTACAGTAATTAATATCATCCTAAAATATTTGTTCATTCTGATGTTTGCTATTGAAAAAAAATACACTCTGCATTGAACCTGCACTTACCTTTTAATGCACAGTCTAGAGGTCAAATAGGCTCTGTAGCCATCAGTGATATAAGGATTTTCCCGTAGGAATCCCGGCACCTGCTCGTAAGTGTACAGGCGGATTCCTCTGGGCACCAGAACTGGCCAATACTTGTAACTGCCCAATTCAATGTACTGGGCACTCTTCAGCACCTTCGCTGATGGCATGATGATAATGTCACCCAGTCTCACACTCAGAGTCCTACAGAGACACAAAGTTTAATGGATACATGGTTTTTATAAATATCTGACAAAAAGTGACATGGATGTGAAATTTTATAAAAGAGTGCAGTTTTAACTGACCTCCTCCTCCATAAAACTTTTATTGTGAAGTACTGAGCTTTAATCTGAGGGCAGGTGTGTGTGTGTTTAATATGTCATTATATCAGTGTTGTTATTGTTAACTAAAAGTATTAAAAATAGAAATATTAGATGAAAAACTGATATAAATTTGGTTTCAAAACCCAAAACAAATATATAAAAATAATGAAAATGACAAGTATATGACAAAATTACTGAACTAAAATAAAAAATTAGAACCTTAGTGAAAACTTTAATAATTACTATAATCATATATAAATAATACAAAAACGATGCTGAATATCATGTGAAAATAATAAAGTAAAAAGTAAATGTAACATGTTAAGAACGTTCTAGCTATATATTTCTGCTTCATTTAAAAATGGTAATATCAAACACTACTGGGAAGTAAATGTAGGGTATGTTTTGTCCGGTCTCAAGAATCAATGAGTACTGCTTGCGTTCATTGCTGAACTGTTAAGATTGTTATGGAAAAACAAAGCACTTGGGCTGTACATAATACAAATGCAAATTTCACACCTTATTTAGAACGAAGCCTGTTAATAACATGAAACGAAGCATTAGGGTGGGCTCAAGTAACAGACGTCCCTGTCACTGTTGCTTCATTTAAAAATGGTAATATCAAACACTACTGGGAAGTAAATGTGGGGCATGTTTTGTCCGGTCTCAAGAATCAATGAGTACTGCTTGCGTTCATTGCTGAACTGTTAGATTGTTATGGAAAAACAAAGCACTTGGGCTGTACATAATACAAATGCAAATTTCACACCTTATTTAGAACGAAGCCTGTTAATAACATGAAACGAAGCATTAGGGTGGGCTCAAGTAACAGACGTCCCTGTCACTGTCCAACAAGTTGTAAAGCTTATGGCAAAATACATACAGATATACACAATATATAAACCTACTGAAATATGAAATTATTTATTTCGATAAATGCAATACCCTAACTAGTCAAATATTTACCTTTATCGCTAAATTCGCTATCACTTGTGCTGTATCTAAAATGGATAAGCAGCTAAATGCTAATCACATCTATCTAGTGTGCTTAGTTCCGAAACGGATTAGTGTTCGCTTAATCCTGAATTTAAATTTACCATTGGTTAGATAAATGTCTGCATCGAAGAATCCGCGTTCGTGTCTGTGAGGCTCATAAATGATATTAGTATCCCATGTTCAGACTCATATTAGCCCGGTGAGGGCAGGAGGAAGTTGTGCTGTGTTGCTAGCTGCTAACAGGCTAATAGAGAGATTATTGTCACATGTAACCCGAGGCATTAAAGGCAGAGTAAGTGATTTTTCAAAAACACTTTAGAAAACTGATTCGGGCCGAATCGCAAAACAAACTTCCTATGTCTTTTATCCGGCGATTACTTTATCAATCCTCTTAATATATATAGTATCAAATTAAATAAAATTTTGTTAAATATTTTAATGTTTCATGTTTGATTTTTAAGCAAAAACTAAAAAGGGATGTCGTCACTTGTTCTCAATTTTTTCCCCCCTCCGAAATGATTTCTCCCTTCTGAATGTTTAATCACACGAAGTGTTTATCTACTGGAAATACGTTACCAGCCAATAGCACCCATTTTTCATAGCATTCATTAGGCTACATCGACAGAATTGAGACCTGTAGGTGGCAGACTGCTGTCAACACGTTTTGAAGACTTGTTTCTTTTCATAAACATCTCAGGTGTAATCTTGTGTGATAGCCTACTCCTCTGGGGCTAGAATCACACCTAATCTTCCCTCAGTTATTACACCCAAGATAATTACCTTCTCAAGTGGGAGTGTGTTCTTCATTAGCACTCCTAATTCACCTTTCAGCACTCCACTCTTCAACAGGCTGTCAACAGCATTGCCAAGGCAATTTGCCTGACTACAGCAAACCCAACAAGACAGGAAAGAGTGCCATCACATTTCTGGTTCTGGTTCTGGTTCTGGTCTTTTACGTAGGCTAAAATATTTGTACTAAATGATAACGTCCATGATAAGTAGTTTTTTTGTTTATTCCTCAGTCCATCTGATATGTCTTTTTATTTGAACTTGTTTAGGGTAAATGGAGAAGACGTTCAGAAATGTTTCAAATTTTATTTGCATAAAGTATCTGTCTTGACATTACTGGCCAGATTTATAACTGACTTTACCTGTCATTGAGAAGACACCGAAACTTCACACAGAGCTGGACCTTCTCCGACCAATTTACACTCATTCGTTTTTTCATTTCAATTCGCCCTCTCAACCTATGTTTCCTGAAGCAAGCCAACCGCCACACGCTGTTCTCTACTAGTGCCCATGATATGGCCCCCAACCAAGAGCAGGCATCAAATCCAATAACAAGGACACAGTCATTGTTAGAAGAGGTTGGCCACGTGTCTTGCTGAGAAACTATCCAGCCAGTAAAAAACATTGCCACCCTGACAGCGGCCTCGCTAAGGCCCGTCAGTGATCCCCTGTTCTGGTCGCTTTTATTTATAATCTCCGCCACGAGACATCTGCTGCCGCCATGCCTCTGTCCTTGCCGTCCACACAGAGGGTGCACATCAACGTTTCCACCGCAACCTGCACCGAAGTCCAGCTCGCAGGCGGGAGACACCACACTTTGCTCCAATACGATGTGTGTCGTGTCCGATCCCGCTCCCTGGAGACTGATTAGCACGATACAGGGGACGGAGGGAGGCTTCACCAGCACTCAGACTGATACTTACACGATCAGAGTGCCTTTGTTTGTTTGGTGTCTGTAGTCTGGTCACAAGACTATTTTGGGGAGCTGACACTTTGAGAAAGCTCTGTAGCCATCTGACAAGCATAGTTTGCTGGCAGTTCCTGAACAGTGGGAAGTCAAGCAGGCCACTGCACCGGCCCTTGACGCAAAATGGCACAGGCAGTTTTGTGTTTTTTATGCAAAAAGAAGACCACGTGCAGCTTCAAATGCCACCGCTTTTCCTCAAAAGAATAAGTAGACTAAATAATATATATTTTTACCTCAGAACATCCTCAGATTACAAATATTCGCTTTGTATGTTTGTGTGCGTGTGGTGAGAGAGGGTTATTGTCATAATTTCATGAAATAAAATCAAAAATATGTCAGAAGCTTGTTCACAAAAAAATAATAAATAAATAAAAACCTTAAGTAATACAATGTTGCTACTATAAATTTCTAATATTACATTGTTACATATAAGGAGGTATTGTTAGCTAAAATATTTCCGATTTTAAATTTAAAAAATGTACTTTAATTGGCATAACTCAGTATTCTTAGTCATATTAAATATTTTTTACTTTATTAAAACCAGTTGCTACCACCTGAAATACATTTCTTATGTACTATTGTGTTCACCATTTTTTTCTGCTTCAAAGAAGTTCAAATGAGGCAATGATTGGAGATTTCAGCTTAGTGAAAGTTCCATCTGCATAACAATATTGGGAGGAATTGAGCTTTAATATAAAGGCATCCTCTTTTTTTCACTTACAATTATCTCTTCAATACATCTGGCCCCAAGACTATAATTCCCCAGAGGCCAAAAGAAAGGGAAAACAATTTCCACAATAAGCAAAAGATTAGGTCAGACAATACAATTGTTCTTCTGCATTCAGCATTTGCTGGAACGAGATTAATATCTTGTGATATTAATGACTGTTTGCTGTGTGTCACTTTTGCTGTCAGCATGACATACTCTAAATCCTCATTTATAGAGAAAATCACAAGCCTGGCTAAGGGACTCAAGCAGACATGCTAAGCTTTTTGGCACTGGGTACTTATTATTTTCTAACCCCTCTGCAGTGGCAAATAAGCACTTTGTTATAAAACTGATTATTATTACATATTGGCCTTACAATGCCCTATTGATTTTCTTTTGTTTTTATTTTTTAATTATGTAAAATTAATAGAATATTCAGGGATTCAAAGAGCTGTTGAGGGGGAATTTGTTCACTATAACGTTTTGTTGTGTGTGTGTTTTACATTATTACAGTATTAGAAATTTATTTTGATAGTCACAGACCATGGTATTTTTTTATACTAAAAATGCTTGACAAATGCTAAATATCTTTTTATAATGTAGGCTATAATGTTATTTAATAAATGGTATTGTACTGAAAATACTAGAATTCAAAGAGAATACTAAGTGAAATCATTTTTCCTCCTGTAGATGTCACCCTGCATCTATTTTCTATCACAAAATACTTTTTAACAGTATTCGTCCACTAAATTGTTTGAGTTCTATACATTTTGTATTTCTAAAATAAATTCAGGGAGAACATAAACTGTTTGCTAAGCATTTAACCCGAGATAGTAGGCCGATTCATAACAAAAAAAAAAAGAATACAGCAAAAATTGATTTTTGACATTTATTAAATGTAACAACTTTGATTAATTTCATACAGTTTTCACTTTAATTTTACACTATTCCACAATTCAGCGAAAAAAGAAAGGTAAAACAGCAAGTAAAAAAACAAAAAACAAGTGTCCCGATAGAAATGATCAATCTCTTGTGCTGTCCTGAAGTGTAGTGATGATTTTGGCAGTAGGTCTAAAAAGATCCACTAGATGGTACTGTGGTCACTCATTTCTACAGTCTCGGCTGTTTAAAATGGCCTAAAATACTTTCTTTACTTTTTAATAGAATATTTCATACAGTCAAAATCATGTGGAAACATTATCAAACAGCATGGGGAATCTGAAACGAAATGTATTAATTAGTTTGTAAATGAACTAAAACAAACGTGAATAAAAAACAGCTCAGACGAGCTCAGTGCAATGAATGAGTCAATTCTGAAAGAAAAACAACAAAAATTTGCTGGCATTTCATACTTATGAATAGAAATACATTTCTTATTTGAGAGGTTTGACCCTCATCACGGTAATGTATTTTGTCATTCTGGGCTCCAACACCACGACTGAATTATTGTTTTTATTTTCGGGGTCAGTTCATTAGACGGCAAACCCACAGTAATGGATTTCTCACATCACGGAGCATAAATGAAGATTCTCTTTCATTTGTGGACGATATGACTCCATCTAGTACAGATGCCAATGAAAATTACAGCCTTCTCTTGAGCGAACAAATTGCGCTGATGTTTTTGATGCATCCTTGCACGTGGTGATTGAGGTAGATTGTCTAGGACCTGCTGCTTTTCCCTGATATGAAGGCAGGGGAGAGCATGAAACAGTAGGCTGGAGAGGAGGGAGGGCCGTCTGCCCTCTACGGGCCTGAATCTCCTCCCGCCACAGGACTACCCCACGCCCAGGCTTGTTTGTAGGATTGGCACTAATTCAGCAGCGCCAGCGTCTGACCTCAGCGGCAGCGGCGCTCCGAGAAGACCCAAGGCGATGCGAGGGATTCACCTCAACCGGGTAGGGGAGGGGAGGGATGGCTGGGTAGGTGGGGGTGTCTCAAGGTCAGTTAGTGGGGGCTGGGAATTGGGGTGGAAGGAGAGACTAATGAGATTTTCATTCTCTCTTTCTCTCCGGCGCTGGTGGCATCACCTTGCAACCCCCTGTCAATCTACCACCTTTCATCAACCGAGAAGGACAGAGGGGTGTAGGCAGAAAAAAACGGAGAAAAAATACTGTTTGTTTTTTAAACAGGACTGTTAATCTATTTGGACTGGGGTAATAGAACATTTGCCTGGCACCTGCAGAGAGCCGTCTGCGGAAACGTGGGGTTGTGACATTCCCCTAAATATGCTGAGCTTTCTCTCACCTCTCATCAAAAAGTGTCATCTTTATGGACAGTATCATATTGTGCCGTAATGTGCTTTATTGTCCACAGAATAAGCTTTTCTTAAAGGTAATTGGAAATCTGGAAATGGCTGCTATCGGCTGATTTTTAAATGCATTATTTCTGAAATGTGGCCTGGGTAATGACCCTGTTGGTGTAAAACGTAAGATTTATCTTGGCAGCCAAAATCGATCCATTTCACCTTTGTCTAATGGAAATTTTTTATCAGGGATTATCTGTTTATGTAAATGAGCGTTGCCCTGGAACAGGGAAATAAAAGGCGCTTGAGAGGGCAGTTAATCTAACACTTGACACGTCAATGTGGACATAACGCATACAGAGCCCCCCTCGCTCTCTCTCTCTCTCTCTTTCTCTGTTAGGGTTGAAATGATGGGAGGGAGTCTGTCCCAGACCTCACCAGACATTTGAATTGGGACCTTCATTTCTATATTAAGAAAAAACACAATGGCTACTCACAAGCATTAAGATAAATTCTTGGAACATTAGATCAGTAATAAAAATAAAATGCAAGT